AGGCCCGAAACGTCAGCCTCTCTGCTCCTATGATGCTGCTTGGCCTGCTGTGTTCATCCAGCCCTGCACCTTGTTGTCTCGGATTCTCCAGCATCTGCAGTTCCTACTATCTCTATTGAGACCCCAACAGTTTCTGATGCTATGGAAAAACCAAAACCCAGAAATGCTGATCTGAGAGAGCTGGCTACACACATTCACGCTGTTTAAAAAAAAACCCAAGGTCTCCCCAGTTGTTTACTCAAGCGGTCTTCACTAACCACCTCAGAACCTCTCATTCAATCTCTCTCTTAAAAGAAACCAGGACAAAATAACATCTTAAAGCCACAGCAACATCACACCTTCTTGAATCACTGTAGTCTATATGTGGTGTAGGGACACTGATTGATGCAACTTCTAGGATTTTGACTCAGTGACACTGAAGGTACAGTGATACATTTCCGAGTCTTGCAGGTGGCACTGCTAGATGGTAGAGGATGTAGGTTTGGAAGTTGCAGTCATCAGAGTCTGGGAGAGTTGCTGCAGTGTACTTCGGAACTAATACACACTGCCGCTACTGAGCGTCAGTAGTGGAGAGATTTGGAATGTAGTGCCAATCAAGCAGGCTTTGTCCTGGATGGAGTCGAGCTTCTTGAGTGTTGTTGGAGCTGCTCCCATCTAGGCAAGTGGGGTGTATTCCATCACACTCCTGACTTATGCCTTGTGGATGGTGGGTTCTGCTTATTATTGTTCAGGCCGTGAATGCTGAGGGAGGTTGAGATTCTCTTGTTACTAGGAAAGCTGCAGGTCAAGAATTTCAGCCTTAACCAACTGCCAGACTCTTTCAGGTAGCAGTTAAATTCCTGTCACCCCCTCCCACAGTGCACTGACCTTTTTTTAAGAACATTAAAAAACCACAATGCGTTTTTTTTTTGCCCGCACTGACAAGCGGTTCAGTAGTTAACCGTATCACAGTATGAAGGACCCGGGTTCGATTCCGGCCTCGGGCGACGGTGTGCAGTTTGCACATTCTCTCCCGAGTCTGTGTGGATTTCCTCCGGGGGCTCCGGTTTCTTCCCACAGTCCAAAGATGTTCAGGTTAGGGTGGATTGGCCTTGGGGAAATTGCCCCATCGTGTCCAGGGCTGTGCACGCTAGGTGGGTTAGCCGTGGGGAACGCAGAGTAATGGGGGGGGGGCCCTGGGTGGTCAGCTCTTCGGAGGGTCGGTACAGACTCGGTGGGCCGAATAGCCTCTTTCCGCACCACAGGGATCGGACTGAACCCCAAACCGGGGATACTTCCCCATTTGCACGGAGTTTATTCAGTTCCGAAGGCTTCCTGGCGCCTCCCCAAAACTAAAGTCCACTTCACCCTGGGAGGGGCTGTACCAACAGCCTAGGCGCGCACGAACCAGACGCGTCCCCAGCTCCTGGATAACCCCCCACCCCAAAAAACCCGGACTCACAGCTGCTCCGCGCTTCTGCGACGAGGAAACCAGCCATCGGTCCCAACAGCGATCTGCAAGCATAACATACAGCGCCGCCCACGGCCCGGCAGAGTCGCTGCGGTACAGTATACAGCGCCGCCCACGGCCCGGCAGAGTCGCTGCGGTACAGCATACAGCGCCGCCCACGGCCCGGCAGATTCCCTGCAGACGACAAGGTGCAGGGGTTGATGAACACAGCAGGCCAAGCAGCATCATAGGAGCAGAAAGGCTGACGTTTCGGACCTAGACCCTTCATCAGAAAAGGGGGGAGGGGAAGGGGGTTCTGAAATAAATAGGGAGAGAGCGGGAGGCGGATAGAAGACGGACAGAGGAGAGGAAACAAACAGGTCTAAGAGGTGGGGATGGAACCAGTAAAGGTGAGTGTAGGTTGGGAGTTAGGGAGGGGATAGGTCAGTCCAGGGAGGTCGGACAGGTCAAGGGGGCGGGATGAGGTTAGTCGGTAGGTTGTGCCACAGTACCTAATTAGCCACCAAGAAGTCACAGAGTAATGTTGTTGGTTGACATTAAATGGCAGAGACCCACTGCTGTTAATTTTTCATCCCAAAAAGAGTTATGTCCCCACCTGACCATTATGTGCAGCCTGACAAATCATTACTAGATGGTGACCAATAGTCACTGGGAGGTTTGCTTTTATTTAACCAGTAGTCACTGCCTGTTAAATAAAAGCAACACTCCCAGTTAGACATACTGCTTGGATGACTTGTCACTTTGGAGGTTTCATGAAGCCTCTCAAATCAAGGTGGTGCATGGACATAATCAACATTATTTAAAATCCTATTACACTGGTTCAGACTATTGAAGGTAGTGAATTTACCACTGGCTAAATAGTTGATTAATTGTAGACATGAATGCAACTTGGAGGGTGTGACATGGTTACCATAACTAAGACTTGGCTGAGACACAGCCAGGACTGGATGCTGCTGTAAGATTAACAGGATAGGGAAACATGGAATAGCTTTAAGAAATAAATAAAATCACAACCATTGAGTGGAAATCTTCTTCCATTTCCTACTTCTACAAAAGTAGTTGTACAAAGGCTGATAGGTGCAGTGAAATAGCTTGTATAACTGCTGAGATTAAACAACAAAAAAAAGTAGCAAAGCCAGATGGGTTTTAATGGGAAAAGTTTGAATTTTACATATAGTTAAGGAAACTAGTCAATAATGGGATACACCAAATTAGCTACACAATAAGTAAAGTCAGATTTAACAATGTGAATATAAATCAGATGATCAAAAATTAGTGCTTGAAATGGGTAACTATGAATGAATTGAGAATCTAGACTTAGATAAGATGAAGACAAGGGACTGTTTGTCGTTAAAACGGCAAGTCTAATCTGTTGATGAGTAAAACAGATCAGGTGTTCAAAAGTGATTTATGACAACCATTTTACACCAAGAGTGCCACTTTCTTTAAAAACAAAAAAGGACAGCACTGGACAAGAAAAGAACAGTTTAAAAACAACACTCCCGGCAAAAGACAAAGACAGTATGAAAAAATTTTGTAGAGGGTTACCAAATCAAAAAATGTTGTACATTAAGAAATTATAAAGGAAAGTAATTGGCTTCTTCGCAAATTGATGCAATATTGTCAGTCTGTTGACAGGGAATTAGCAGTCTTACTGAGCATGGAGGGACTGAACACCTTAAATTTTCAAATGATTGGAGAAAACTTGGTCATGCCTGCAGAATCACCGACTAGATTCTTTTGAAGACGACTCTTAATGTAGCAGACAGGGGAATGTCTATCGATGTCAAAAATATGGATTTACAGGAGTCCAAGTCCCTCACAACAGACTACAGACCAAAGATTGTGGCACTGAAAATTATTTAACCTAGTTAAAAAAGTTATGTGAAGATGCCAGCATTGGATAGGGGTGGACAAAGTTAGAAGTCACACAACACCCGGTTATAGTTCAACAGGTTAATTTGAAATAAACCTGTTGAACTATAACCTGGTCGTGTGACTTCCCAGTTAAGAAAATGACTGAGCAGAAAGACAGACAGTAGATAAGCAACAAGCAAGCCAGATTCATTAATACAAAACATAAGCATCAAGAGAGTTGTACCTAAACGATATCAGCTCAGTCATCAATATGGCCTGAACCATCATCTTAAAAAAAAAAGTCATGCCAGTTAAACTGTTTGTTTATTCAATTGCAGTGCTGTGATCCACATTAAATCCCAGCTAATAAAAGTGAAGGGACATTTCACTTCTACAATACAGATTACAAAAGATTAACTGAAATCTACTAAAATAAAAAAACTGGAATATGCATCATAAACTGTGGCTCATGCCTTTTACACAAATGAAGGTTACTGCAAGTTATCAACTTTGCATAAAATACTAAAAATACAAACAGTCACAACAATGGAGAATGGCTAGCAGTCCATCTTGTCTGAAGTATTTTGAGTTTTCATGCTGCATGCTGCACTGTGGAGAAGCAGAGTTTCAGAGTGTATGGGTAAGGGCCACCTGAGGATGAACAGAAAATAGAGATTATTCCAAAATAAGCACAAGTCTCACTCCTCCCATGATAGCCCCAGTTAAGACTTATAGAAAGACATACTTGGGTTTTTCATTTGATAATGATTCAGCAGAGACAATGATTCCATGGCATCATTCTTTGAATCCCACTCAATCAGGCCAGAGGAACTCCTCTCACCTACAATGGAGAATATATTTGGAGTAAAAACCGAAAGAACTGCAGATGCTGTAAATCAGGAACAAAAACAAATTGCTGGAAAAGCTCAAATCATGCAGCATCTGTGGAAAAAAAAAGTTAACGTTTCGAGTCCAGTGACCCTTCCTCAGAACTGGAGTGATTACCAACATATTAGTAGCTAAAACAAGCCATGACCACAAGAGCTGGAAGACCAGATCATTTCATAGCTGACACAAAGGTTGCCAAGCGGTCAACTGGGCAAGAGAAGGAAATAACCAAGGTTCTTGAAATAACTAAAGATTTCACTGAACTGATGGAATGGCAGGCCGAGGTGCCTTAAGCAACTGATAAAACACTAAAACAAAAAGAAGAAACTTGATGTTTCCTTTATGGACTTAGATTGTAAATACACTGAATTTTCAACCAGAACTAAGACAAAGAAGTGAACTCTCTAGATTTAAATTGATAAAAATATCCCAAACACCCAGCTAGGAAAATACCAGTTACATGCTACACATCTGAACCCTCTCCAAAAACTACACACAGTGTCCAATTACAAAATATCAAATTGGTACTTACTCTTTCCAGAGAATAACTTGAAGGCAGATGGTCTCTTCAAACCCAGCTCATCACATACCTAAAACAAGAAAGTAGCTGTTGGTACCCTGTTGATTTTCAAGACTTCCATATGGTCATGTGATACTCCTTTACTCTCAAGCCAAATAGAGCATCCATGCCTGGAACTGGTCATTTCCTAGAAGCACAAACTAACAGGCACCTGTCGAGCCTGCTCTGCTATTCAATAAGATTGAGGATCAGTCATGATCAACACCATACTCCGGCTTTCTCCCTCAAGTCCTTAACATCTAAAAAGGACTAGCAATTTCTTTCTTGATTATTGAAAGTGACTTGGCTGCCAGAGTCTTCTGTGAAGAATTCCACAGGTTCACTACATTTTGAGTGGAGACACTTTTCCCCACCCAAGTTCTAACTTTCCCTAGGTTCACAATGCAAAAGGTGTCTGTAGTCAGGAACTGCAGTTATATCATGGATCCAAAATAGGAGATTCCCTGTAATTCAGTTGTATGGATATCAAGCAGTGAAAATTTAACAGCTGACCTTTGAGACCTCATTATCAGAAGTACTCACAACAGGAGTGTCAGAATTTCATTGATCAGCTATGTTTTTAAGACTTAAAATTTAAAATCTTGATTTTTGTTTGTAAATCTATAATAATGAGTAGGCTGAGGTTATAATGTTTTACCAAGATGTCTTGATTAAATTTAAAAATCTAAAACATTGGTATGAAAGTTATCCTACTGCAATATTTTTAGAGCAATAAGACTGCTATTTTCTAGGTCAGTAGGTTAAGGTGCAGAGATGGTCTTTAGTAGAGCAATGTGCTCTTCCCCGTTGCGTGGGAAATTAGGGAGAATTTCCATGTTCCTGATGATTATGTCTGTAGGAAGTGTTTGGCTGCAAATCCCATCAATCCAACTGATCCATGCAGTCAGAGTAAAAAGAAGAATCAGAAACCTGGGGGGGGGAAATGGGTGGAAGTTTCAGGAAGGGAGAAAAACTGCAGACATACAAATCAGATTGTTTACTTCTGGGGGAGGTAAGCAGGAAGTGCAGGATACTCCTGAGGCTACTTCCATCTCAAACATGTATGCCGTTTTGGAAAAATGTAGGCAGTGACAGACTCGAGGGAATGTAGCATTGATAGCCAAGTTTCTGATATTAAAACTGACTCTATTCTAAAAGTAATGAGTATGTCAGGTTCCAAGTGACCGATTGTGATAAGGGACTCTAATCAGGGGCACAGAAACAGGTTACTGGAACCAACAGGGAGACATCAGAATGGGGCTTGCCTCCCTGGTGCCAGGGTCAAGGATGTCTCGGAGGGTGCAGAATATTCTCAAATGTGGGAGCGTGACCAACAGGAGGTTATTGGTACCAATGTGTACAGTGACATAGGAAGAATAAGGGATGAAGTTCTGAACAGAGAATATAGAAAATGAAGCAGAAGGTTCAAAAGTAGGTCCTCAAGGATAGTAATATCTGGATTACTCCCAGTGCTGCATGGTAGTGAAAAGTAGGTCTAGGAGGATACAGCAAATGAATGGGAGGCTGAGGAGCTGGTGCAAGGGGCAGGGGTTTGCTTTTTTGTAACACTGGAATCTTTTCTGGGGTAGAAGTGACCTGTAAATCGCCAGGGAGGTGGGGAAGAAATGACCCCAGGCAGATAGTGAGGAAATAAAAAAGATCAACTCAAGACTGGTACAGTTAAGAGCAGTGAGTCAAATTGCCATGCTTTGCCTGCCTTGACTGAGAACAGGGTAAGACTGATAAACTGAACTGCATTTATTTCAAAGCAAGAGGCCTAAACAGACAAGGCGTAGGGGATAGTTGGGTACATGGGACTGGGATATCTCAGCTATTACAAAAATGTGACTCAGGGAAGGACAAGACTGGCAGCTTAAAATGTTCCAGGGCATAGATACTTTAGGAAACGATAGAAAAAGGGAGTAAGAGAGAGTGGAGGAATGGCATTTTCAGTTAGGGACGATATTCCTGGGACTACATCTCATGAAGTTATTTGGGTGGAACTGAGAAATAAGAAAGGCATGATCACTTTATTGGGGTTGTACTATAGACCTTCCCCACTCCCACCCCCTAAACAAATAGTCAGGAGGAAATCAATCAGCAAATGTGAAAGGGGTTCTTGGATACCTGTAGGAATAATACGGTTGTAACGCTAGGAGATTTTAACTTTCCAAATATTGACTGGGACTGCCATATTTTTAAAGGATTGGATGGAGAGGAATTTGTCAAGTGTGTAGAAGAAAATTTTCCAATTCAGTATGGGGATGAACCTTGACCTTTTCTTGGTAAGAAAAGCAGGGCAAGTGACTGAGGTGTCAGTAGGGGATCACTTTGGGCCAGTGATCATAATTCTATTAGTTTTAAAATAGTTACGGAAAAGGATAGACTGGATCTAAAAAGTTAAATGTTGGCTTTGACAGTATCAGGCAGGAACTTACAAATGATAGTTGGGAGAGGCTACTTGCAGGTAAAGGAACAGCTGGAAAATGAGAGTCCTTCAAAAGGAAATCTAGATAGATTGTAACATAACTGTTTCTGGATTCTATTAGTGCGAAGGGCAAGGTTGGTAGGTGTAGGGAATGCCAGGTGACTAGAGAAATTCAGGCTCTGGTCAAGAGAAAGGAGGCATGTGGCAAGTATAAACAGCTGGGATCAAGTGAATCCCTCAAGGAGTACAAGGGCAGTAGAAGTATATTCAAGGCAAATCAGGAGGGCAAAATGGGGAACATGAGCTAGCTTTGGACTATCCTTAACACCGTCTGTCAAAGGGATTCTACTAATATATTAAAAGGTCAAAAAGTAACTAGGGAGAGAATAGGGGTCCTTAAAAGATCAACGAAGTTTTCTATATGGAACCACAGGAGATGGGCAAGATACTAAACGAGTATTTCATGTCAATATTTACTGAAGGATAGAGAAACTAGAGAACTTGGAGAAATAAAGGTGATACCCTGAAAGAAGTGTCCATATTACAGGGGTGCTAGACATGTTAAAACGCATAAAGATGGATAAATCTCCAGGACCTGATCAGGTGTATCCTAGACCTTCAGAGGAAGCTAGGGAAGTGATTGCTGGGCTCCTTGCTGATTTGGATATGAATACAGGAAGAATGGTTAGATTAATTTAGGGTATCTGGTCAGCATGGATGGGTTGGACCGACAAAGGTCCGCTTGCATGCAGTACAACCATGATGAAGCAGTTAAACCAAAGTTTAGGTCGAAAGACAGCATCCCATACTGCTAGTCTAAATGCTAATAGTTGGGAAAGCATCTAATCTTTTATTAAAGTGAACAAAAATAGGAGTCTCAGTCCACTCATCTTTCCAGTCTCTGTGCAAAGTAAAAAGAGGGTAGAAAAAAGGTACAACAGCTCAGAAAAGGTGACAAAGCAAACAAGTGATCCAATATCCTAAATGAAAATGTTAACCAATAGTACCTCACAGAAGGCTTCCTCGGTCACCTCTGGAGGGGCATTGAAATAATGTAGGACATTGCTTGGGTGCTGAATTCTGTTCTTGCTGGCTTGCTCTGGAGTGGTGAAGCGATTGTTTCTGGAGCCAGAGAAATCCTTAAAACTGCAAGACCCATCTTCAAGCTCATATGATTGACCAGCCATTATAGCCTGTTGTTTGGATACACTTAAAACAGAAAAAATACACCCCAGTTAGCACAGGACCTCATGCTCCACACAATGACATCCTCTTGCAGACCATGCAGACAACCTTTCCAAGTATTCAACAGTTGACACTTTTTTAACCATCTTTACTGACTCGCTGTTCAGGTTCCAATGTTATACTGAGCACAACAGGCAGCAAATTTAAGGAGCTCGTCAATCAAAACATGAATCTTTTCACAGATGATGCCCGACAGTATTTCCAACATCTTGTTTTGGTATTGGGCAGAAAAAATACCCCAGCTATAATTATTATTTTACATAGTGAATCAATATTCACCACTGCTCAGTGCCTTAAGAGGCTAGATTGTCAGAGTCAGCAAGACCAAGTGCAGAGAAAAAAAACATCGCAGCCCATCAAACAAGGACCTATTTAATACCATTTTCCAGCACTTGGATCATTGCCTTGTATGCATTGGTATTGCAAGGCATTGTGTGAAAGTATCTGTCCTCAAATCCTCTTTGAAGAGTGCCCCTTAAATCTATGCTCCCCAAAGATCCCTCCACAAAATTATCCTTCCTGTATATGCTCACTTTTACACATCCCAATCATTTCTCCTGCCCAAATCTCCTCTGCTCCAAGGAAAACAACCCCAGTCTATGCAATCTCTCTTCATAGAGAAAGCTCTCCAGCCCAGACAACACCCTGGAAAATCTCCTCTGTACCTTCTCCAGTGAAATCATATCTCTTGTATTGTGTGTAGTTCTGAAATCCATATTATAGAAAAGGCAAGTATCTCATACACCTTTTTAACCAGACTGATTGATAAAAGGACTGGTAGACATGCAGCCCCAGGACCAATTGATCCCCAAGGACCTTCCTTTCATCGTGCATTCCCGTCTTGTTTGGTCTGCTGAAGATCATCTCACTGATCCAGAATGAATTGCATTTATCAGAGTATCTTCCCAGCCCCTCTATATCCTTTAATCTAATGCTATCATCATTATTTACCACCCCACCAATTTTCATATCATTTATAAACTTACTTCTCAACCCTCCATCATTCAAGTCTAAATTACACATACACAAAGCCAGGAAGAGCCCCTAAAAACCAAACCCTGCAGGGCCACACTTGGCACAGCCTTCCAGCCACAAAACAGTTCTCAATCAATCACCCTCTGCGACATGCCACTCAGCAAATTCTGGATTTAAGTGGTCAGGTTTCCTCGGGTCCTTTACCTTTATTGAAGGCCTCCTCCATTGGCCCCCAGCATTATAGGTACAAGTCTTCAGCCATTTCAATTAAATTCACAGGGTATCAGGAAACTGCTGGAGACACTGGATACTGCAAAAGCTATGGGCCCTGACAACATTCCAGCAACAGTACAAAAGACTTGTGCTTCAGAACTTGCTGCTCCCCTGCCAAGCTCTTCCAGTACAGTTACAACACTGGCATCTACCCAGCGATGTGGAAAATTGTCCTGTTCACAAAAAGCAGCACAAATTCAATCCACTCAGTCAATTAACACCAGTCTACTCCTGATCATTAGTGAAATAGAAGGGGTCATCAAAAGCGCCATCAAGCAGCACCTGCTCAAACACCCAGTTTGGGTTCTGCCAGCGCTATTCAGCTCCTGACCTTATTAAAGCCTTGGTTCAAATGTGGGCAAAACTCAAATCAATGGGAATCAGGGGCAAACTCTCCACCTGGCACAAATGACAATCATGGTTGTTGTTGATCAGTCATCTCAGATCCAGGACATCTCTGTATGATTTCCTCAGGGTAGTGTCCTAGGCCCAACTTCAAATGCTTCAATGACCTTCCCTCCAATGTCAGAAGTGGGCATGTTCAATGATTGCATAATGTTCACCACCATTCATGACTCATCAGATACTGAAACAGTCCATGCTCAAATGCAACAAGACCTGGACAATACCCAGGCTTGGGCTGGCCAGAGGCGGGTAACATTTGTGCCACACAAATGCCAGCCTATGATCATCACCAATAAGGGACAAGCTAACCGCCACCCTTGACATTCAATGGTGTTGCAATCACCGAATTCCTCACTATCAACCAAAAACTCAGCTGGACTCACCACATACACACAGTGGATATAACAGCTGGTCAGAGGCTAGGGATACTGTGGCAAGTAACTCACCTAACTTGCCAAAGCATTTCCACTAACTACAAGGCACTCGTCAGCAATGTGATAGAATACTCCCCACTTGAACTGGATGAGTGCGGTTCCAACAACACTCAAGAAGCCTGATACCATACAGGACAAACCAGCCCACTTGACTGGCACCACATCCACAAGCATTACTCCTTCCACCACCAACGCACAGTAGCAGTGTGTACCGTCTAGAAGATGCACTGCAGAAATTCAAAGACCCACAGACAGCATGTTCCAAACTCAATGACTTCCATCTCGAAGGACACAGGCAGCAAATAAATGGGAATGCCACCTTTGAGTTCCCCTCCAAGACACTCACCATCTTGACTAGGAAATGCATCACCATTCCTTCAGTGTCACTAGGTCAAAATCCTGGAATTCATACCTTAATAGCATTGTGGGTCAACTGACACAGGTGGACTGCAGTGGTTCAAGAATGCAGCTCACCACTGTCCTGAAGGGCAACCAGGAACTGGAAAAAAATTCTGGCCCAGCTAGCGACATCCACATCCTACAAAAAAAGTTTCCCCATGCTGGATCTTGAAGTCCAATTAGACCAATTCAAATGCACCATCCCAATCTATACATCAGGTCACACCCAGGAAAAGTCCAATCAAGCTGGTCAGACACAACCTCACCTTAACAAAACCATGCTCTCAATAATCCCTGTCTCTCCAAATGCATATTTAATTCTATCCCTCAGAATTTCTCTCAACACTGAAATTAGACTGGTCGGCATGCAGTTTCATTTCTCTTTCTGTCTCAATAATTGTGTGACACTGGCTATCCTCCAGCATTTCATCCGCAGGCAGACAGGCACTGAAAATTATTGCCCATTGTGTTTCCTCTCTTGCTTCACTCAACAGTGTGAGATGCATTCCATTAGACCCTAGTACTTATCCAGTTTTAGGACCGCCAGACCACTCAGCCTCTTCAGTCTATGCTAATTTCTTTAATTATATCACAGTCCACGAGTGAGAGGGCACAAAATGCATTCATGTAGAATACTACCAACGTCCTCCAGCTCAGTGTACAAACTACCAATATAGCCTTTAATGGGCCCTATCCACTTCCTAATCATCCTTTTATGATTAACGTACTTGTAAAACAACATATTTTATTTCATCTGCAATTGTCCTTTCTTGCCCTCTTTTTGCTCTCCGAATTTGCCTCAAATTCCCTCTTGCATATTCTACACTCCTACAGGGCTTCTGCTGTTTTGAGACCTCACTATGTTCCATGAGCCTCCCCTTTTCTCTTTACCCAATCCTGTATAGCTCACAACATCCAGGGTTCACCAGATTTGTTGCCCCCACCCCACCTTTAATAAAAGATGTTGGCCCTGTACTTTCCCCATTTCCTTCATGAAGGTAACCCACTGTTCTGATACAGATTTACTTAAAAGTACCTATTCCTAGTCCACTCTGGCAAAATACCTGATCTTGTTAAATCACACTTTTACAACTGATTTCAGGTCCCTCCTATAATCTTTCCATAAGAAGCCCAAAAGACTACACTCTGGAACGTGGAGCTGCCTGCCAATCCTGACCCCCTCTTAACTACGTCTCAGTGACAGAAACGACACTGTACTCTTGTGTATTAACTCGTGCTCTCAATCCACTTGCTTTGCTGTTAATCTACTTCCTAGCTCTCTCAAGGTCCGAGAACCTCATCTCTTTATACTTATTTTTTGTTGGTACCTATGTTCCGCAATCTATTTGCCCTCCCCCTTCAGGATGCCTTGCAGCCATTCAGCGACATCCCTGACCCTAGCAACAGTGAAGCAACATGCTACGCTGGAACTTCTGCAGCCACAGAAACATCCATCTGTTCCACTTGCAAACTGAACTGAGGATAAAAACCTCAGATCCTCAAAAGCACCTGACAAATACATACAGTCAATTTCAAAGAGACAGGGTCTTTTAGACCCTTCACACTGAAGAAGTCTCTGCTGTCGACAAAACCTCTACCTCATACTTCAGAAGAATGATTTGATCTCAATAATACACTGCTTTTCAGCACCAGTATGGTGTGCGACTATCCCTTTTGCACACTAGTTGTAATGTTCAAAGAGAACCAAAATTTAGGATTCTACCTAGGGCGACCCACTCCTAATACCTGTCGCTGTTCTAATTTCACCACGACTTATTATTATACAATAAGATTTGTTGACATGCCAGTATCTAGAGGATAAACACCAGACTCTGCTTCTACAAAACTGGGGGTCACTGGCCCAATTACAGCTATTGTTTGAAGTCTTGGATAAATACCAATATCCATTTCCCTCATTCTCCCATGGAAAATTTCAGAAGTTGACACCTACCAGACATTTAATTTTTGGTCAAACATATAAGTATTATTCAAATGGCTGATGGCACGATCCACAGCAAATCCATCTCCCATTTCTACCATGGCAGCACCTGGCTTACTCTTCATGAACTTCACCTAGAAAACAACAAGGTGACAAATACTTAGAACACAAGATGCAAAAAAAAAAAAAAAAAAAAAAAAAAAACTGCACCCAATCAAAACTGTCCTTCAATCAGAAGTCACAGTGAAATCATATTTGTCTCAATGTGGCCACAGACCAAAAATTAATAGGCAGTTACAACCCAGATAGGCAAACTACGATAGTCTATTCACTTTGTGGACCGACTGCAATGCCAGGAATAAGAATCCCTGCCTCCAAGAAAAACAGGGCAAACTTACCTTTTCCACATTTCCATACAAACAGAAGATGTTAAACACTCGATCACAATTCATTCTTGAAGGGTCCAAACCATAAACCATCAGTACTGGGCTCTCTGCTTGAGGACCATATTCTGGTGGAGGCGGTGGAGGTGGAGGTCCATACTGAGGTCCATAGCGTTGACTGGGTGGGCCCCGGTGAGGGCCCCCCACTGGAGGTGGTCCTCCCATCCTTCGACGTTCATAATGGGCAGGTGGACCATAATCATCATCTGGATAGTGACTATATCCTCCTTGTGGAGCCCCTTAGGAACAGATCAAAGCAGATTTAAAAAGATATGCTCTACTGAAGGCTACTGTGAAAATCTCTACACCTTAAATAAACCTGCAATGGAGGTTTGTGAAAGTTTTAACACATTCTGCATATTGAACAGTACAGCGAGTCATATTACATTTCATCTTCAAACAGAAACGGAACTAAAAAAAACAACATAGGGACACTGGAATTTTGTGATCAAGATGATTGGTTGTACACACAGTAACAAAATTTGTACCACTGGATTCCTTGAATAGTGCCAAGTCAGCCAACCCCACCATGCAGCATAACTACAATTATCCTAATTACGAGACCAGCCGAAGTTACCAAAATCTACATTCATAGCCAGTCAACTTACTTCCTTTGGTGACCATCCAACAACCCATGGTGGAAGTGCATTATACCTTTATATAAAGGGCAGGATCACATTCACTTACCAAAACTATGACTGTATGATCATCGCCTGCATATAACACCGTAAACTACTAAACTAAACTAACAACACATCGCACACAGTACACACCACTGTAAAAGGCTGTGAGGGAAAAAACTAAGCACTTTCCTCAAAACTATAAAAAAAGGGAGAAGCTGAAGTCTCAAAGTAAACAAGGGTATGCCGCTAAGCGCATCAACCCCACCCTCAACCAGCTCCAATTCTCACCGTACTCAGATGGATGATCTCCAAGCAAGGCTGGCTGGCGCTGGCGCTTGTTAGGATCGCCTTATAAAAAGAGAAAGGATGCAGTGGAAAAGGAGAGTGTTAAATGCATTTCCCAAGCTGCCAGACATCCAAAATAATATCACAACAGAAAAGTTGAAACTCTTCAAGAGAAAAAAAACCACTCATACATTAAGAGTTATTACAATTTTCCACAGTACAGAGATACATATAAAACTTTGGCTTTGAATTTTACAGTGTAGTCTTAATAGATCTATTACCACGAAGGTTCAATCATAAAAAGGTCTACTTACAGCCAGAGTTAGAGAATAACGTCCATGTGCACATTATGTCTGCATTTTTTTTCTTACCACCCAATGCTTCAACAGCAACTTATTGCAGTTTTGAAAGATGGCGCCCCAAACATATGCTTCAACCCTGCATTACACGTTTTACAGCAATGAATACAGATTTCATACAAAGGCAGTACTAGCTTCTAACAATTGCATCTAGCAACAAATTTCACGTTCACAGTTCAGGTAAAAGATTCTTCACAGGTGTCAAGTGGTTCAGTAAAAAGTTGTGAATATGATAACCCAGTGTTCCTCCATGTCGTTCTCCTGAAAGTAATGTTGGATGTGTTGGTCTTGGGCTTTGTGGTAGGTAGCAAGGCTTACTTGGGCAGGATCTGTGTACATCTCCCACATGGGTGTCCAAAATGAAGTTATGTACCATTGGTAATGTATCATTTATGCAGCAAAATGGCTGTACTGATGTGTCTCATACAATGTGTCTCTTATCCCTCCTGTTGAACTTGCATGTTGCCGAGTATCAGTTGTTTATGGCAGATGTCTGAATGTTCTCTGAAATGTAGGAATGTAGAAAACTGGTGTTTCAGCAGGTTGGGTTGACTGGTGGAAGGAACTCGGCATGTACTTCAAGAGCGCTGTATGAATGCACTTGTCTTATGACGAGAGCTCCTCTAAGCAAAGTGAGGGAAAACCCCTGAGACAATTCTGTATCAGTTCACATGAGGCAGTGTTTTTGACCTTTTATCTGAAGAAATCTTGAAAATGAAACAGTTACATCTCTTGCGAATATGCCTCATTTTTGTCTGCCTTCAATACCTTCACTTCAGAAGTCTAGAAAAATGATGGTTTGCCTCACAGTATGTAAGTGATGGCATGTCGTATCGTTGTGGCTGCAGGGTAATCTTGGGTCAATGTATGACACTCGATGTGCTGTTCTTGTTCAATAAAAAAAAGGAAAGAATTCTGCTTGCTTCTCCAGAAAGGTCTGCCTATTACTGCTGCACTGTGTGTGCCCTTACCCAGCAAATGGTTGATTATATAATGCAAGAGCAGAGTTTAAAATTAACCGACTACTAGTATAGTTCAACATTTAAGTGAGAATATATGCAGTTTGCTTCATTTTGATCATGCACCACTAGCTATAGCTGAATTTTATTAAATACAGCTCATGCTTTTAATACACTAGATTTATACACAAAAATTTTGCAAACTTTCCAGAAGTCTCTTAATTTTAAACTATGCATATTTGGCTTCCCAATGGTCACACATGAACACCTCAATTTTAAATGGCATTCTATAATCACAGTTCTGGATTAGATGTGTTCATTATATGAATAGTGCAATTCAGGATTAGACTCAGATACAGTCATAACAATCAAATAGAATTCAACTGTGCATTAAGCAAAGAAATTCCATGAAGTAATTATACAAATATCCTTAAAAATATACACATGCTGTCACAATTTACAGTCACCATTTGGGCTGCCAAAATCTCAGGTTTGACTTTCCACTTTATTTAATGCTATGATAAATTACATTACAGCACTAACTTAAAAACATTCCCATTTGAACTACATGTGACTAAAATCCATGCATTGGCTACTGTAAGAGGACATGGATTGGAGCACAAAGGCGCCTTGCAAATGATCTGAAGTAATAGCACGATTCCTGCCACATTTTATGGTGACTTCAAAATGCACAACAGATAGTATACTTGGCGATCAGCCGTCTTAAAAAAAGTGTTTTGTAATTGGCATTACAGTCAGTAACAGAAGGTCAGGGTAGATGTAAAAATTAGATGTCAAAATGATTCAACTCAAGTCAAGGTAGTTAACCAAGTTACTTAGTAACTGGTAACCAAACCAAAAAACATCACCTCAAAAATCAGCTTGACTACAGAGAGCAGTCGAGTAGAAATATACTTGCTCCATTTACAACCCTGCAATGAAGCAAACTTCATGTAATGAAAATTTACAAAAGTCAGTTCAGCAATCTGATCCAATTTCAGACAGATCATGGACAATGCCAAGGCACTAAATTAAATAAAAAAATGTCCATCATATCCTTGGTAGGGCGAGGTAAAGAATTCTAGACATTTCCATAAGTTAATGGAAGGCTTTCACAAAACAAAACCAAAACATTAAAGTGCTCCACACAAAAATAATTATGAAAAAGGTAATTAATCCTGAAGGCAAAGATTGATATATGCAAAATTATAAGTAAATGTTGATTACATATTTGGCTTCAGAAAATCTATCAATGCTCGCATTTTAGTTAATGAAAACATAGCATTATCCCAGTCGGCAATTACCTGCAGCCAAGAGTTTTGCTTCCAAGTGTCAGCATTATTACCTAGTCTATGCTGATGAGTGCACAGTCAACAGAAAAATCATTGAGTGTTTACATTCACTAAATATATATCAGTACACCAAGGGGAACACAAGTGGCAAATGTCAGGAAAGTCAAACCTTGTCGTGGATGTGCAAAGAAAATAAAAACTTCCAGCAACATTCTGCATTGAGACAAGTTCAGTCACAGAGCATCACAAGTAGATTTAGGTCAGAAAGCATTTCAGAAACAGGCCCTTCACTCAACAAGCATTATATTTAAATCTTAATTCCATCAAAATTTAACCTGAACTATTCAGACAAAAGTATTTTTTTCCTAGATGAACCTCAAGGATATGAAAATTAAGGATCATTGTTACATACTACTTAGAAAAAAATAAAACAAAAGCAGGCAAATGCAAGTGTCTTTAACGGATGCACAAAGCCTTAATAGATTTATGGTTCAGGAACACTATGCACTGTACTGGCTGCTCACACTCTGCTTGAAGTCACAAGACATAGGTAAGATGACAATGATCTTTGCTTACAAAACTACAGCAAGAACTAAGTATTTCTACCAGTGCAAAACATTGGAACAAGGGACCTAGATTTTTAAAAAAGCTCATTTTGTTATAATCTGGACTTCATTTGGAATTAATCATCTGCAAAGCAGACAAAACAAAAAAAGGAAGCTTTATTGTAAATGGAATCAAAGTCACAGCTTTAATGGGATTAATTCTGCCACATACATCATGCTATGAGGAACCATTTTATTAAACCTGTAGAGATTTTACAGGATCTTTGATCACCACTACCACACAAGCCATACTAATAGTCATAATCTAATCACCTGATCCCAGATACCAGCAAAATTCATTAAGTTAGTACTTTTATTGCTCATTCCTTAGTTGAATCGGAGACTGGAGTCTTGTATAATGTGCTACCCCTTGTCTGGAACCATAATCGCAAGGTTATGTCCACGTGCTATCAGAAGTATTCAAGTTTAGTCCTTACGCTCATTCAGGCAACTCCTTCCAATTCACTTCCTTCTATGACAGTGTCTAATAAGTCATTAAAAGGCACAGCAAAGTACAGATGATTACCTTATGACAAAATCCTAATGCAATTCCAAATTATTTAAGACTTAGTCTTGAACCAGCCAGGTCACTGGATATTGATTTCATTTTTATTTCAAAAGCAATTAACTTGAAGTAAATGTGTGAACTAGTTGAGCTTGCCAAAGAATAAATGAAAATACCATAATTATCCAAATTTCAGAGCTAAATAGCAGCAATGAGAGATTCTTTAAATTGAACAGATTCGCCAGAAAAAGAGGAAATACCCTTATGTTCATTTTACTAATTGATGTAATGGAGGGTTGCAGAGAAAATGAGCCCAAGATTTAAATTAATCTTCCTATTCTATAATAATCCTCATGTGGAGAAAGGCAGCTGAATTAGCTCCACTGTGAAAAATGAACACCATCCAGTTAAAAGCATCATAAAGATAGGTGAAACTATTCTGCAAAATGTTGGCCTTCAAAAAGGCATTTTCCCTACCTTCGCTCCAAGCTTCACAAAGTCAAAACTCAAATACTAGAACAGCAGTACAGCGTCTACTGTTTGGTGAGGTGGTGAACTGAAGTACAGTTTTGTCAATAGCCAAAAGGCAAAACAGCTAACAATTACAGACATACACAGCACCCTTAAAATTTTATTCCCAGCAGCTATCAGAATTAAACAGCCTGTGGTGAATAATCTTAATCAGAAAATGGCAGAAATACTCATCAGGTCTGGAGGACAGAAAGCCTGGTCACAGCCTGAGACTTCTTTCAGATGCTGCAGATCTGCAAGAGTATATACAGCTTTGTTTTTATTCCATAAAATCTGCATCCACAGTATTGTATTTGTAGGCATGACAATCTTGCCTTACTGGTAAAGTAGGCTAATGTCCTAGCAGAGAAAGATTTCAAGAGGAAGTGAAATGGTCAGCACAAATTTGAGTTCACATAATCACAGATCTGCACAAGCCCCAGTGAACTCAAAAACAGGACCTGTACTAGAAAGACTTGATATTTAAAAAGTGAAACCTACAACACACACTGGAAACAAAGTATTGTTCAATGCTAAATTACCCCACGTGAAAGCTTTCCAGCAGCCCAAAGCACTATTAAAAATTAATTAACAGTGCACTCAGTCCTGACCAAGTGCCCACCCACTGAGCCAGTCACAATCTCCTTAAACATCAACTCACTGGAAAAGTGAAGGGTACACACCAAAAGCAAGAGCCCATCACCTTAAGGCAAATCAATCAGCTGTTAGTTTTCTATGGCGCAGTAAATCAATGTTGCTGGAAGCTTTTCTCAAATATATTAACTGACAGCACCAAAGTTATAACTGTAAAATATGGTGTAGGATTAAATGTGTATAATTTGTCAATTGAAATTTTACATATTCCAATCACAAATAATTCTGCATAACATGAAATATGCATATACTTAATCTATTACCTTGTCCTCCCAAAGTAGGATTTGTATAGTCCCATGTGTCCTGATCATTTTTGAAGACATTCAATCGAGTAGGCTACAGAAAATGGAGTCCAAATTAGATCAACAAACTGATTAAGTGAACATCTGCACCTTAGGTAACAGCTATGATCCAAGCCAAAACCTAGTTTCCTGGTGTTGTATAAGGGCAATACAGAGCCTTAGTGCACATTATATCAACTGCAAAACAAAACTAACACAAATCCCAATCTCTCAAGTGTAATCAACATATTAAGTGGAGGGTTAAAAGACTTTAAGCAGAATTCTGCATTTAATATGCCCACATCACTTCACAATTCCTTAAAGACTTATGATTCCAGCTTATACATCTTACATCATTTATCTTTTTAATCACCCTCCGAGTACATTTCAGCAAGTAACTTACCTTTGCATATTCAATCTTCAAAGTACAACACCCAGAATAAATGTCTGCTCCATTGAGAGATGCTTTTGCTCTCTGTGCACTCTGTACCGAGTCAAATGTGTCTTATGTTAAAGGTAAATATTACAGCATTACAAAGAAAGCACAATAGCTGCCTACTAATGCAAAGTATAAAGCAATCTTCTACTTTTTAAAAACTCAAAAATGGTCTGTTAAGAAGTGTGTAGTCAAATCATTAGGATTAATGAATGGTTTCACTGTGAAAAAGAAATGGCATAACACCATTTATGACAGATTCATGAAAATAACATTTGGAAAACAGCCAAAGTGGCTCTCAGCCAAATGAGTGACCCAAAACCTTTGGTGGAACAGCTGGCCTTTACAAATGGCTTAAAATGAAGTGTAGGATACAAGCAGAGGACTGAAACGTCAGGCTCAGTCAGCAAATATTCTTCTGGAGTACAGACAGCACAACAGGTCAGACCAATTGGAGACACATGGACTCCAGGTTGGTAGAATCTGATTTCAATAATCAAAAGGGGGATTACGACCATGGATGTCAAAGAACATGAAAACAGGTAAGTGTCACACCATCCATTCTTTAAATCACATCATTGTATTAACTGCATATGGTAGCAAATCCAAATTGCAGCAATAATTTATTGCACTTTGATTTCCAGTCATACACCACAAAAAACACAGAAATAGGAGTAAGTAATTCAGCTCCGCTATTCAATAAAAGCATAGTTGATCATCCAACTTGGTACCTTATTATACCCTCTTCACTACACCCTTTGATTCTTTTCACCCAAAAACTATATCTACTTTTTACTTGAAAACAATGTTTTGGCCTCAACTGCTTTTTGTGGCAGAGAACCCCACCAGGCACACCACTCTCTGGGTGAAGACGTTTCTCCCAATCCTAAACGGGAAAACCCCACAACCTTAAAGTTCAACTAATTTTATGCAAATATTTCAAGAGTACACCAAATTAGTCTAATAACATCTTGTTAAAGTAAAAAAAAAAAATCAGCAATCCTCCTTCAAATTCTTTCCATACATATCCCGTTTCATGCTCATTGTTAGCACCAAAAAAAAAGGATATTCCACCATTGCCTGGACTCCATTTTTCCTGAATATGACAATCCTTTGCACAGGTCCACATGGATTGCATATGGTGTACAAAACATCCTGAAAAATGAAAACAATTGTGACAAAAATCATCATGCATTTACTTACCTCAGCCTTCCACCCACAATCTCCTATCAGGAGGAGGCAACAACAATGTAAACCTCAATTAATAAGCCCAAAGCAGGAAAAAAAAACACAGGATAACATAGTCCAGAATAAGATACCGAAAAAAATCTGAGCAATAGCTCATTAAAGTACCACATTTCCAGCAGAATTCTATTCAGTTTAGAACTAATTCCAACAGGCACTTCCTAATCCTATTTGAATATGCTCCACAATGCAGTAGTAAAAATTTAAATAACTCACTGTTGTAATTGGATAGATAGGGTTCATCACTGTGAACAGCAGTATGTTGTTCACATTTCTGGAATCATCAGAATCACCAGGTCTGGAAATTTTCTGACTAGTCGAGTAGTTCACGAAAGCAGGCTGCGCACCGACATAGATCTGGCTTTCAACTGCGAAGTTCACACAAGCACATGCACCATTCAGATCTTCAAACTCCACTAATGCCTGTCTCTTCTTGGGCATCATCACAACATAGCTGAGAATTGAAACAGTGCCAATTTTTAAAAATGGAATATACATAAAATGAGCAATCTTCAACGAGCACTAGAGAAAAGCACTTCAAAATCGTTTAACCTCTACCATTTTTTAAAATCTGGCCCAATCAATGTAAGCCTAAATCTGCAGCAAAACCAAAGCCCACAGCATTATGATCTCTTAAAGAAAGTGGATAGTGTTATTTATTTTCAGACTAAAATACAGAGCGACTTAAACTCTTCTTTGCAAACTTCAGTTCTATCTGAAAAGAAAACAAACATTTTACATCTTCTCCCAAAAGTACTGTACTGAAATGTTCAGAATAGATAAAGATAGAAGAATTCCTGATCAAAAAGTCAATCATGTAGCCATATTTGCAGTCTGCATGCCTGAACTGACACTATTCAAGCATCAGGAAAACAAGTTGTACCAATAAGAGAACATGTTAGATAATATTAAAACATTCAGAGCATTGCTTAAAAATGTCACCATGGCTTCAGTGATGTGCCATGATCAATTTCTACACACCCACGTTTTAAAGAGAACTGGGATAAGAAAGATTGTTTTAGCAGCAAGCAGCATAGATTTTCAGACAACTTACAATTGCTCCAGACATATCTAAAACAGAGAACCTATAAAGCACAGCAGATAGCTGCTGCGCAGAGGGAGGTAATGTAATTAATTTCTATTTATTTTGAAACAGTTAGCAATTGTGAAGTTTTGTAGCCCAGTTTTGATGAGATGGCTCATACCACTCATTAGCTATTCAGCTTTGAAGAAAAAAAAAACATTAACTCCACTTTCGCTCCAAATACTGCAAATCTGCTGAGTTTTTCTAGCAATATCTGACTTTGCTTCTGATGTCTTGCACCTGCGGTTCATCCTTTCGTTTCCTCCATCATTAGTTTACTTGGTGGCCAACTGTGCAGAACTGGGGCACCCCTTTGCAATTAAAAAAGGTTTACACGCACTTTCCACTAGTTTGCTAGTGGAACTGACCGTCCAAGCATTTAGAGCTTCAGCTAGCTTAATAGCAGATTCCTCCGACTGAAGTTATTAAAGACAACAGAACAGTGCACACAAGTCTCATAAATTACAGATATCCATGGCATTGCCATGTGATGGATCATCTTTCCTTGAAATTATTAAACAGCCAGATGACTCAAAACATCCTACAAGTCACTAAGACAAGAAACTTAACTTGAACGGTCATAAATATTGTAGCTGAGAGCACTATCATAGCGTTGAGTGACCCACTGCCCAAACTCCCAAAGCCTTTCCATCATTAAAGCAGTAGGAGTGCATAGAATACACCATTTGTCTAGACATATCCAACTCCAATAAACAACTACAGAAATCAACCAGCTGTGTTACCATCCAATCCACCACCTCAAAAGCTTTCATTTTCTACACCACTAGCTTACCACGGCTGCAGCATTTACCAGCTATAAGGACTACATCAACTTACCACTACCTACCATATCCAAAGCTGTCTAGAAGGACACAGGCAGAGAAGCAAAAATCATCAACTGTCGGTGCCCCTTCAAGTGAAACAATCCTGATTTGGAATCAGAAATCGATCTGTTCCTTTGTTATGGGTGGATCGGAAACACGGAACACACAAACAGTACCATGAGATACCTTCAGAACCAACTGCAGCAGTACAAGACAGTAGCTCTCTACCACCTTAAGGACAATTTGGGATAGGCAATAAATACTGGTATTGTCAGAGGGCCCTACAGTCAATGGACTTTCAGAAGTCAATGCTACATGAGAAATGAAACTAGGTAGATTAGGCTCTGCCTTGCAACAATTGTGCAGATTCATATCAGGAGTTAAATGTAATCCTTGTAATTTAACATAACACTAGGGAGAATGTTACAATCCAATCAATGACAAGAGAACTGTCATTCAAAAATTTCCCCATTTCTAAAACTGCCCATTGATCAATTAGTGCAAGTGTTTTGAGACACTGTTGTACGTTCGGCTGAACCCATATTTCATGATTCACAGTATCCATCTTGAAGCCCAAATACAGTACCTAACAAGCAGGACTTCATCTGCAACCTTTTAAAAATAATTTAAATCAAAATGCCATCTTATTCAACTTGATCAGCGCACCTGATGGCACCAAACTCCTGTAGTGCCTCTACAAGATCCGCCTCCATAACTCCATCAGACAATCCTCTAACGTGTACCACAGGAGATGGTGATGGCTTGTGAGGATCTTCAAGATAGCTGCCATCTTGCTGCTGCAAGGGGAAAAACAACTTTAGTACAGCAGGCGTTTAGATAGTGTATAGTTTTCAGTCCTGACCACCCAAGTGTCTTGTGGTTGGTGACAGCAAGTATCTAAATCTCAACGGAGTTCATCAGGATTACAATTGCAGTTCTTCACCCTACTGCACTATCAAATTGTGATTTTTTTTTTTTTTAAAAACCTGGATTTTGTATCTAAGATGGCAACAAACTTTTTGGTGTACTCAAGTGCAAGAGTACATGTGACAATAAAATCTAATTCTAAATTATAATCTCACTGCAGGTCTGAAATGTTATACACTAATGGTTTAGCTGGCTCAAGGTTGTGAACTTGGAGAGGATGCAGAAAAAAGTACAAGAGTGGTTTCATGGATAAGGAATTTCAAGTGAGAAATAGTTTAGAGAAGGTTTGAGAAGTTACTTAATAGACGCCTATGGACAGAGCAGTCAGAAACATACCATAAGGGTCAAAAACCAAGAAAAAGTTAAACTAATTCACAGAGGAACCACAAGCAACATAGGAAGAATTTTACTGAGCAGTTAATATCTGCCTGAAGGAGTAGTAGAGCAGATTCAAATGTAGTCAAAGAGGAACTGCATAAGTACGTGAAACAAAAAAAAAGGAAATAAGGCCAAGTATGGAG